CTGCCTCTCCCGTAAGGGAGATGTGATCATGCTCGATGCTGCTGGCTGATCCCTGTGGTAGTGGTGCCATCGCCTTATCTCTACTATTGGTGAAGTAGATGGCAGTACTCGTCAGGCTAGGGGAGAGGGGGTCCCTTCCTTGCTGGTCCCCTGCATTACCCCCCGCTGTGGCACCTGGGCTCGTGGGGCAGGCACTGAGGCAGGGTCATCTGCGTACGCGGGTTATTAGGCGTGTTCTCGTCCACGACACACACTCAGTTGGGGAGCTTGCACCATATACTTCCTCCTCATTCTTCCTTTTCACCAATCTTCGGGTTTAGTTCCATTTGAATCCCTGATCATCTAGCCAAACTTTGGGGAACTGGGCACAAATTGGTCTAGATTCATATTTCTAGCCCAAAGAATAAACATCTCAAATCCTAAGAGGACCCTGCTGCCCTTCACAGTTAATTATTCCGTTTTTGTTTCTTTTGTGGTTTGAGACAGGCTTTTGCTCTGTAGTTCAGATTGGCTTTGAACTCATTTGCAGCAGTCCTGCCTCAGCCTCCTGAGTGCTGGGATAACAGATGGGCGCACCACGCCTGGCCACTCAGATGCAGTGATTGGAGTTGAAGTGTTCCAGCTGCCCACTAGCATGTTATAAAAGCCCATTGTCTTCATCACTTTCCAGTCACAGGACACAATTTAACAAATTAAAAGGGGAAAGATTTATTTTGGCACACGGTCTGTAGAGGTTTTGGTCCATAGTCGGGCCTCCAAGGTGGGATGGCATGCTAAGGGATGTGATAGTTGCTCACTGCAGCCAGGAAGCAGAGTCGGAAGGAGATGGGAAGAGAGAGAAACTTCCGCAGTGACCCATCTCCCTCAACCAGGCCCCATCTCCTAACAGCTGGGCAGCTACACCATATTCAGTCACATCTCTAAGGTTGCTCTTGCGAGCCCTTGAGGCTTGCCGGGGGACATCTAGATAGAAGCCATAAATTTACAACACACAGTTCACTGGAGGTTTCTCTACCTCGGTCAGCTGACATCCCAGGAGTCAGGCAGGAGGGACAGGTGCCGATGTCAAGGAACCTGAGCCAGCTGTGTGGGCCTGTGCTGTTAGCATCTTACGCTGTGCTGCTGGAGTTTCTGTTTGCGGTGGAATCCGTCCCGCTACACTCTTTCCTCCTCCCCTAGTTCATGCCCACTTCAGCCTGAGCCAATCTTCTGAAACACAAGTCTGCGCACACCCTGGCCTCCCCTCTGTCGAAGGCACTTCCTTGGCTCTTGTGCTGAAGATCGGAATCTTAGCTGCTGGTCTCATTCTTTGGAAATCGGATTGTTCTTGATCCCAGGCTCACAGACTTCATTGTTGCTCGGCTGGGCCACGAGACATGAAATGTCATGAGGTGAGCAGAAGTGGTGGGGATGCTTGCGCCGAGTGACCGGGCAAGGTGACTGTCAGTGAGCAGCATGCTCTTTCTCTCCCTGGTGCCTCTTCTTTCTCCTCTGGGACCTCTCACACCACTCATACCATGTGTATCTCCACAGCCACTACTGCTCCTGAGGAATTTCTTTCCCCCGGTGATTGTTTGATTAATGCATTTTCCTAGCTAGAGCCCTTGTCTAATTCCAAAGGACAGGAACTATTTGTTTTGCACCCAGTCCTTTGGAAATGCTTGATACTTGAATCAATCACACTTGTTGAATAAATGCATTAGTACTGTCTTTGTGTTCTGTTACTGTTTTTTAGGGGTGGGCAATGGAGACTGAACACCCAGGGCATTTGTACTGAGTAACATTCCCAAACTTTTTTTGAGAAAGTGTCTCATTAGGTTCCCCAGGAACTTATGATCCTCCTGTCTCAGCCTCCTAGAGATGGATTAATACTACCATGCTTGGCTTGTGTTGTCCTTTTGCATAGTTTTATATTTATGTTCTCCCAAGATGATGGCAATCCATATTGTCACTTAAGAGCTTAAGGTTCTTTAGGTGATACATGGCTTGCTTCCACCATGGCCGGCTGAGTGGGGCCTGGCCGGAGTGTGCCTGCAGCCATGATCCCAGCATGCATTTGCTCTTCAGAGACCATAGACTGACCAATCTCAGCCACAGATGAGGAAGTTCATGCTTTCCAAGCATGACCTCAAACCTAGAAGTCAAAAAGGAACAGACAGATATGTGAAAGATATCTTAAACTTAAGGTACTTGCTAGGGAAAAATTTACAACACACAGGATAGTAAATAAATGAATATGTTCAATAAATGAATATAGTTAAGTTTTTACTGACAAGGAAATATAAATATCCCAATGGGAAGTTGGGCAGAAAGCCCAAATAAACATTTCATAGAGTGAAATACAGATGGCCAATAAACATGTAAGCTGTATTTAAGTCAAAACTAAAGACATGCAGATTCCAACAACTAAGAGATCATTTTTTATGTTAGGATTAGCAAAGATATGAAAGATTGTTAGTACTCAGGCTTGGTGGGAATGGAAAAGGCATGTATAAGGATAGAAACTGGTTCATATACAGAGGATTGACTTGGAAATACAGGTAATTATAAAGGTATACAAAAGTAGTGTGTACATCTTGTCCCCAAAATTTCGTATCTTGGGATTGATTCTAAGGAGACAATCAAGGCTGGAGGTGTAATTGCAAGGAGTTTTAGTCTTCACAGCATTGTTGATAATAGTTGTTGGGTTTTGTGGTGCTGGCATCAAACCCAGACCTTGTATGTACACAAGACAAGCCTCACTCCCAGGCTCAGTAATAGCTGTCTAAAATAGGAAAGAGTTCGCATCTAGAAAAAGTGACGTTGACGTGGTAATTAATAACGATGATGGATATCTTTATTATGCCCTGGAAAGCATATTGTTCAAAGAACAATGCAGGCTACAAAACAGCATATGATGTCCCCATGTTTATGAATACACAGGCTTGGAATGACGTCAGTGTGTCAGTGTAGTGTTGTGGACTTACATGTCACTCATTCGTCATGGGATCCATAAATGTACCTTGGGAACCTTTTCTCAGTAGCTGAACTCATTTTGCCTCATGATCTCCCAAACATCATCTCAGTTCCTTCGTGCTTAATATTCAGACTCTCTTGGGTCACTAACCACTGACACCTTCCCTGTCCCTGGGGACGATTCACAAATGGTGTTGTTGTGATGTACTCTGCTAGCGGGACTCTGCTGTCCTTGAGCCCTCAAGTCTGCTGAGGTGTCACTTGTCTGGACACCACACTTGTGGCTACATCGCTGCACGTGTCTGATTTCTGCTCATTGCCAGATCATGAATCTGTCATCACTTTGCCCCCAGCATGGGCTCTTGTGTGCCCACTGCCTCATACAGAGCACGGGATGCTAAACGCTTCCTAGGGACCCCTTAATCCGCTGTAAAGCGACTTCCTGCCAAGTCTCTTCCCCAGCCAGCTGGAGGACTCAATTTCCTGAGTGAAGCCTCCTCTTCCTTGCCAGGTACTTATTGTCACTTCTTGTTTGGGGACACGCTAGTAATGGCTCCCTGCCTGCGAACTTTGGTTCATCATCTTCCTGACCAGGCAGCAGCTGCTGCTGCTTTTTATGTAGGAAACACTGGTTGCTCTTAGAGACCTGGGTTTTGCAATGGAAACAGTGGCTTTGAAGATAGTAGTCTGTTGCTGGGGGTAGTGCATGCCTGCAATCCTGGCACTGGGGAGGCTGAGGCAGGAGGTTCATCATGAATTCCTGGCCAGCCTGGATTACATAAGTGACCTCAAGGGCCAGTCTGCACTACATAGGAGACTCTGTCTCAAAAAAAAAAAAAAAAACAAAAAAAAAAAACCAGGGATATCACTCAGTGGCACAGTGCCTACCTGGCAAGCAGAAGGTTGTGAGTTTGATTTTCAGTACAAAAAAAAGCAAGATAATGGTCTGCTGTACCTTTACAAAAGGCTACTTAAAAATTCAAGTATAGAGGCCAAGGATTTTGTTTCATCCCAAACCAAGAGCACAATGCCCAGAAAGCTGCTGCCTTGGTATCTGGATGGTAGGGGCAGAGTTGGAGGGTGAGGACAGAGAAGGCTTGGTGTTGTGTGTCAAAATACGCATCTTGACATAGTTCTTTGTGGGACCGGCAGGATTGTGGGTGATTGCCATTCCTTTTTTATGTTTCTGAATTTTCTGCAACATACTTTTTTTTTCCTCTTACTTTGACACAGGGTCTCACCATGCAATTCAGGCTGGCCTTGAACTCACTAGACAGCCCAGGTTGGCCTCTAACTTGTGGCAACCCTCTCCTCCTGAGTGCCACCAACATGCCTGGCACATACTACTTTTTTTTTTTTAACACCAGGGATCGAACTCAGGACCTTGTGCTTGCCAGGCAGGCACCTATGCCATGATCCAAATCCCCAGCCTACATACTACTTTTATACTAAAATATGTCAAAATTTCTTTTATGAAGGGACACTCCCATGAATTTAGGCCTTTAGGGCTAATAGTCAGCTTTCCTATTGCTGGGACACAATATGTAACATCCACAATTTAAAGGAGAAGTTTAATTGGCTCACGGCATCCGGGAACTCAGTCCATGGTCCATGATCAGCTGGCTCCAGCATGGTGGAATGGCTTAGTTCATGGTGGTTGGGAAGCAGAGCAGAGGAACAGTGCCAGAGAGGAATGGGGTAGGGATCAAATATAGTGCCCGAGGCCACACCTCCAGGACCCTCCCAGACCCACCCAGGAGTATGCTTTCTAATCTGCTGGAGTTTCTTAATCCAGCGAAGCCAAGCCAACATATTAGAATTAACAGTCACCAGGTGTGCTGGTTTATTTAGGTATTTTGGTGCCCTCACACCTTCACAGCTCTCTGGGAAAGGGAAGGGTAACGGTGGGGGGCCCGGCTGCAGGCACTTATGAGGAGCAGAGGTGATACCCTGCTCTGCCAAGTGATGGAGTTAGCTGGGTCCTGACCCTGCTGGCTTCGGGGTGAGGCTGTGGCTTTTGCCATACCTTAAAGGACAATGTCTTCTTTTTTGCACAAGCAAACAGGACTTTATTAGCATAGTGCAGGCACTGTGTTACATCAAAACTGATCCTTGGTGTGCATTGCCTGAACTTTGATCAGGTAAATCTTAACCGAAGTAGTCACTACTGGAATTTCAAACCAAGGTTGGCAAATTCGCCTTACAAAAGGATAAAAAGGAGCTAGGCATGTTAGTGCATACTTGTAATCCCAGCACTTGGGAAGCTGAGGCAGGAGGATTGGTACAAGTTTAAGGCCAGCCTGGGTGTGCTACAGAGTGAGATGCTGCCTCAAAAAACACCTCAAAACAAAGCAAAAAGACAAAAAGGAACCTACCTCCCCCTTCTGGTATGCTGGGGATTGAACCCAGGTCTTTGTGCCTCCTAGGTCAAGTGTTCTACCACCAAGCCATACATTTAGCTTTTAAAATTCACTTTTTGTACCTTAACTGAGCAACAGTTTTCAAGCAGCAGAACAATTCAAATACGGAAGTTTGCCCAGCCACCCTCCCATCATGCTGGAGCATGTGATACACTCCTTTCCCACACAGAGGTTTCCTGATTTTTTGAAAAAGCCTCACTTAAGGATTTCATATGTTTATCTTGTAGAGTACTTTATGCTCGCACTGTTTATTCTTCCAAGTTTTGAATTTTACAAGCGTGTTAGTAAATAACCATTCAAGCCTCTGTTGAGTGCATGGAGTCAGTGGCCAGGTCCAGGCCAGCTCCAGCCTCTCCGAATGGCCCTGCTGGAGCCAGGCAGTTTCTCCTCAGCCCAGCCCAGAGGCTGTGGGAGGCAGGCCTGGCTCTGAGGGTGAGAATCCCCTGGTGCAGCCTCCTCAGCGGACAGAAGTGGCCCTGGTGATGGGCGTGAGTGGAGCTGGGACGGACAGGGCTGACACATCTGGAGGCACAGGCTGGGGCTCGTGGTTCCCTAGGGTGAGGGTAGAGAGCCAGGGGCCATGATGGCGAGAGCTCAGGAGGGCCAGAGACTGTCACTCAGCCATGTCCTTCAGCCACTGTGCTTCTTGGGGCTCCCAGGCAGCCCTGACTCTTCCCCTCAGCAGGGAGCAGAGGTCCTGGCCATACATGGGGGCACGGGGTCTCCCTCTGTCTTCGTATCTATAGCCCTGGTTGCCCGAATGTGGCCTGGCTCACTCATGATGTTTTTGAAAAGTGATCGTCCTGTGAGGGGCTGGCTCTGTGCAAATTTGTACAGCAGCTTACTCTTAAGGCCACTTCAAGCCACTCTTGCTGTGTCCTTCTGTCTCAGGGTCATTTCACGGCCCCCAGGCACTGGTCATGGAATCTGCCTCTGAGTCAACCCTCTACCCCACAGTGGAACCCTGACTTAGAAAATGAGGGTCTGGGTAGAAGAAATGGATGTCAAGAGGTAGAGTCAGGTGACGGTACCCTTCTCGTGACATCTGAGGGGAAACAGCTCTGGGCAGTGAATGTGATCTCCCCTGAGGCCTTCTGTGGCCTGAACACATCCGGTCAGGAAGGCGGCCAGTCCCAAGGGTGAGGAGGGTGACCAGGAGTCTGAGTCAGGTGCTGAGGGGGCTGGGCAGGGCGAGGAGGAAGCTCTGAGGGAAGGGAAGGGCCAGGGCCCAAGGAAGGCTTTTTCCTGATGGCGCCACCAGAGGTCCTCAGGAGCCTAGAGCTGGGCCAGAGGAGGGAGGATGGGGCGGGATAGGATGCAGCAGCAGCTGCAGAGTGTCTGCCTGCTCCTGCTGGGAACTGGAGCACCTCCCACCTGACCAGGAAGGACCTGTCCCTCCTGCCCCTAGTTACAGCCAGGACTCACCTGGAGGCTGAGCTCTCATCAGAACTGGGGGATCTGGAAACACTGGAGAGGATTGTTGGCCTCGCACACACCCAGGGCCTGCCAGAGGGATGGTATTAGGACTGCAGCTCCCTACTCCTAGCTCTGAGGGGGACACAGAGGCTCCCCAGAAGGGACCACTCTCACTCCACCTGCCACATAGTGGGTACTTGGTGTGATCGCCCCTCCCCTCCTACACAGCTCCTTTGGCCTTCTGTGCCATCAGGTTTGTCTACCTTTCTGTGATCAAGGCCTTCCCTACATGACAATGTGGGGGCTCCCCCTAATACTAGGCTCAGGACAGGGAGGTCTCTGAGGGTCTTGGGCTGAAGGGGTCGCTGTGGGAGTCCAGAGGATCCTAGAATCAGCTAGAGGGTGGGTACCTGGCAAGTAGTACGGGGATCCCCACCCCTGGGTTCCAGGGCCAGCAGCTGGGGTGTGTACTGCTCCACAAATTGCTTGCACTGAGGAAAGACAAACATGGTGGTTGGACTCAGGCTTTTCCTACTTTGATACCCTGGCATCTCCGTCTCTCAAGGTCACTCTGAGCCTCCTGCTGGATCCTGGATGTGGAACCAGCCATCAGCCCATGAGCAGCTCTGAACAAGCCTGAGGAGGTGAAATGCAGGGTTTCTGTGGAAATGCCAGGGCCTTGGAGCTGCTCCCTGGAAGAGACTTAGACTCCTTCATGACACCCTTCCCCTTCTTTTCTTTCTTTATCTTCTTTTTTTTTTCCTTTCAGGTTTTGAGGCATGGTCTTGCTCTGTAATTCAGGCCGGCCTTAAACTCACTACATGGCCCAGGCTGGCCTCAGATTTGTGGCGACTCCCCTGCCTCAGTATTCTGTGCACCATGGCTGGCTCACCACCTAACTTACAAAAGGGAATTTACTGTCACCAGCTGAGTATGGCAGGGCCTCTAGGACCTTCAAGCCCAGCCTTCTCCTTTTGTAAGTGGTCTTGTCCCAGCTGAGTTATACTGCGAGAAGTGTAGGGCAGGGACAGGACCAGGAATCTGCAAAAAGAGGCCGGGCTGTTCCTGGCCCCAGTTGGCCTGGCCCTGGTATATGCCACCCACCACTGGGAAGGCTGTCACCGGGCATAGTCCTGGGCCACTCCCAGCACCTCTTGGAGCAGGGGCTGAGAGAGGGCAAAACAGGTCCTTCTTGGCTTCGCAGTGACTCAGCCATGAAGGAGGCCTGCTGGTTCTCGAGGCCCCACAGTCTGAGTCTGGACTGACTCTTGACCCATCATAGTCCCACAGAAGTCCAGCCCTGTCCTGCCTGCCTGGCCCAGCTCCAGACCATTCTGTGTGTCTCCAGCTCAACTTTTTCCTCCCCAGCCCGCCGTCACAGCCAGACCCTGGGTCCCACATCCCATTGTGCCCGCCATGCACCTTCTGCCTGTCCAGTGGGGAGCTGAGGCAGGCTTGGTGCATGGCCTGTGGTCTGGCCAGCTCACTGCTGTTCCAGGCCCGGGTGGTCACAGACACGCAGAGGTCGCACTCGGAATCCTGCGGCAGCCATCCTTCTGACAGAGACAGAGCAGGGAGGACTGAAGAGGAAAGGGCCGAAGCTGTCTGATAAAAGTGTCTGATTCCTGTGTTCCCAACACAGCAGGATAGCAGGGGGGGCAGGGCACGGGAGAGGGTCAAACACAGGGAAGCCTGGGGAGGAGGACAGTGGCAGCAGTGGGTGGCAGCAGGCTCACCGAGGCCAGCGCTGTTGTCCATGGAGCACCGGAGGACGAGGCCACACACCAGCTGGGGCAGCAAGTGGCTCAGCAGTGCATCCAGCAGGAGGACTGTGTAGCGCTCTGCCAGGCACTGGCAGATGCCACCTGCCACCAGAGGTACCACATGGCATACCTGGGCCACAGCCATGGCCAGCACACCCTGGGGCGGGGGTGGAGAGAAGGCGGGGCAGATGGGACCTTGGCATGGTTCTACTCTACGCCCAGATCCTGCTGTGCACTTTGGTTTTTTGGGAGACAGAGTCTACTAGGCAGCCCATGCTGGCCTCCAACTAGCAGCAATTCTCCTGCCTCAGTCTCTGGAATGCTGGGATTGTAGCCTGGGCCATCACACCTGGCTCAGCGAGGCACCTTTGTATACTTGCCCTTGTTCCCTTCCAGCAGGGAGAGGCCTGCTGCTCAGCCAAGGGCACTGAAGGCCAGGGAGACCAGAGGACGTCAGATGTACCTGGAGTCACCGAGGGACTGCAGTAGCTGGCAGGGGACCCAGATCTGGCTGCCCAGGCTCTAGGCTGCCTGAAAGGGGCACAGCTGGGCCAGAGCCGGAAGCAGCAACCGAGTCTACTCCTCCTGACCCAGGGCTCCCTCTGCATCCCACGTCCAGCAGAATGACAAGTGGCTCCGACCGTGGGCTGCTGGAGCCAACACAACCCTGGTTTCAGGCACCTCTGGGGAAAGCCAGCGGTTTCTCTGCCTCGCCCCAGTTCCAAACACAACCTCCAAGCTGGAGGGTGCGAGAAAGGCGGCAAGCATGTCTCTCTTTCCCTCGCTCCTTTATCCCTCCCCACGTGCGCCAGGCCGGCCCTGTGCCAGGGGGTGGAGCGAGGAGGAGCTCAGTGGCACGTGATTCTCCAGGGGGCATTTTGCTGGATGCACCCCAGCCGTGTCCAGTCCGCACCGGCCTCCTCTCTTGGATGGCTGCAGTGTCAAAGCCCAGGCCACTAGGAGTCATCACTAGTGTACAGTCCTACCTGCCCTCCTGCTTCCTTTCCAGGACAGCTTCTTGGTGAAGTGAGCAGGACTTTTTGCTCTGCCTCATACTTTCCCTTTGGCCCCTGAACCTGCTTTTTTTGGGCTTCTTTTTAATTTGTTGGTGTTTTTGAGACAGGGTCTCACTATGCAGTTTAGTTCCTTAAACTCATTATGTAGCCCAGGTATGGTCTCATTGATCTCAGAGTGATCCTCCTGCCTCAGTCTGCTGAGTGCTAGGATTACAGGTGTGCAGCACCACACCTGGCCCCACTTGGGCTTCGGTCTCCACCACTGCCTTGAAACAGCTCTCAGGTCACCAACAGCCTCCCTGTTGCCACATCCACTGGTCGTCTCTTGTCTTGCCTGAGCTTTGGCCATTGTGAACGCTCCTCCTCTAAACGCTTCCTCTTGACTTCTGTGGGGCCTCGCTGTGCTTCCCCACCTCACTGGCTACCCTTCTTCTGCAGCTGGTCCCCTTTACCTGCCCAGGCCTCTACCTGCACCTTTCCACACCCTGCCTGCCCCTGGTGCGCTCGACCTGGTCCACAGCCAATGATGCACAGCAGACATTGCTGGGCTGGTCCTGTCCCCCAGAGCTTGATGTTCAGCCCTGCACTTGACCTCTCTCCTCTGGGGTATGGCACAGGCAACTCAAGCTTATCATGGCCCAGAGACAACTCTACGATCATCTGCTCGAACCTGGTTCCGAGAGTGTCCCATCTCTGCTGGTGGCACCAGCAAGGACCCAGTGTCTACAGGAGTCCTCGGGATTCCTCTGCTGTCCTCACTCCCCAAGGCCATTGGTCAGCAAGTTCAGCCGCCCACTTCCTCACACCTTCCCACCCACCCTCTCAGCTCCGCCCCTGCCCCACATCTCCTCTGCCGTCTTGCAGGAATCTCCTGTCAGTCCCACTGTCATCCTCACCCCTCACCTGTCTGGTCTACCCTGCCATCAGCAGGAGTGATCCTTCCCTTACTTGAATGCTGCAAACTGCATTCAGAACAAAACCCTTCATTTCTTTTTTCTTTTCTTTTTTGTAGTACTTGAGACTGGATATGGCACCTTGCATGCAAGGCAAGTGCTCTACCACTGAGTTACATCCCCAGCCCTTTTTATTTATTTTTTGTTTTGTTTTGAGGCAGAGTTTTGCTATGTTACCTGGGTGAGCTTCAAACTCAAGATCCTTCTGCCTCAGCCTCCTGAGTAGCTGAGAGTATAGGCATATGCCACTATGCTGCTTTTTTTAAATTAAAAATATTTTTCAACACTAGAGATAGAATCCAGAACCTCACACATTCTAGGCAAATGTGCTGCCACAGAGCTACACTGCCATCCCCAAACCCTGCATTTCTTTACTTAGCATGACAGTGTCTAGATGGCCTGGCCGTGCCCAGCTCTCTGGTCTCTCCTGTTGGCCATCCCTCTGCAGCCACACTGACCCTCTGTTCCTCAGGCCTGCCAGGCTCCTCTTGATTGGGCCCTTGGCCCCTGTCTTCCTGTCTCAGCTGAACTGTCACCTCCTCAGGGACTCCCAGTCCTACCAGCTTGATCCTCATCACTGCCCGTCACCTTATCCCATGTGACTCCGCCGCTCTGGCACTGACTGAACCAAGCCCCCCCCCAACGCAGTGTTGGGCAGAGCATCAACCTCGTCCAGGGCTGTGGACATTCAATGGCCAGCTGGAGGGGGCCCCACTTGGGAGGGCTCAGGGCCTCAGGGCCTCCTTGGGCAAAGACCACAACAGATCTGGACTCCACGTTGGATGTGGGCAGTGTCGGGGGATCCACAACTGTGGAAAATTCTCATTTTCTTCAGAGCCACTGGGGCTTCTGAGTTGCTGCAGACAAGGCTGAGCTCATCTGGGCTCACACACTGGCACCCGGCCCACTGCCTGCATAGCAAGGCCTTCATGCTCACTGAGTGAACTCTAGGCCTGGCACCCCTGGGCGAGAGCCTCAGGGTTCCTCGGCTGGGGATGGTGTGAAGCTGCTTCCCATGCAAGGTCTGGAGCTGGAGTGGGGGCGGGGGGCTCCTCCTGGATGCCTCACCTTGGGAATCATGGCCTGGACCCGCTTGAGCAGAGTTTTGCAGAGCCAGCAGTAGGGCAGAGGGATGGGGAACTGCTGCTCCGAGAGGTCCTGGGGGAGGGAATGAGGCAGGGCTAGGCCTGCTGGAGGAGCGGTGCTCTGCCAGCCCATCCTCGAGACTGGGTCTCCACCTCCCCTCTCCCTCTGCTCCTGGGCTGGAGCTCCTGGTCCCTTCTGGCTCTGCTCCTCACAGGACCTGGCTCCCAGCTGCAGGAACCCTATCTGCCCACAGGGGCTTCTCACCTGGGTGTGAGGCCCAGGCCACACTGAGAGGGCCCGAGGCAGCCTGGGGGGCACCAGCAAGTCTGGCAGAGTCTCTGACAGCGAGTTGGGCAGAGGGCTTGGCATCCCTGGCTCTGGCTGTGGATCTGGCTGCCTGGGTTGGCACAGGCCCAAGTTCCAGCAGATGTCCTTCGGGGTCTAGGAAGAGTGCAGGTAAAGGGCTGTCAGTGGCAAAAGGGGACCCCAAGGGTCGTGGGACGAGGGTCACTGTCTTTGCGTGTGGAGTGGAGGGGAGTAGGTCAGGGTACTGCATTTTAGGGCTCTATGGGGGGGACAAAAGGCAGAACTGCAGTCCCGTGGGGATCTGGGGTAGGTATCTAAGAGTGTGTGTGCTGAGTGTGAGCATTCGTGTGAATAAGTGCAAGAGTGTGCCTGGGGGCTGGCGCTGCTGATCCAGTGGGCGATGATCTGGGTGCCTAGTTGAATGAAGGGTGCTTGGTTTGCTGGGCCATTCGTGGGCGGGGTCATTGTCTATGCGTGTGTGCATGTGCATGTGATCTGGGGTGATATGTGTGTCCAGTTGGGGTGCCAGGTATGGGTGTGTCTGATGGTGCTGGGTGTGCTCCCTGGTGCATGTGTGTCTGCTGTCATGAATCACTGGTCCCAGGGCATTTGTAGTCTGAGCAGGCAGGTGGGTGAAGAGGAGGCTGAGAGCCCTCACAATGTGGCTTTGGAAGTAGTCGATGACCAGAGGGAAGTAGGTTTCGAGCACAGAGTGGCACCGGGGCACCAGCAGCTTCAAAGGAAGGACATCGCACTCACGCTCCAGGAACTTCCGAATGGTTTTCTGGGTGGACAGAGAGGGGACAGTGAGCCTAGCCTCTCTGAAGTTGGCCCTGACCCATCCCTGGATGCCAGGCTGCCAGCAGGGCAGACTGGGGCTGGGATTCGGGTGCTGAGGAGTTCAGTAGCTGGGCACAGGTAGAGCCTCCTGCTCAGGCCAGACCCTGGGTGGCGGGCTCAGTCCCCAGGCCCGGGCCTGGCCAGGAGGAGTTCAGAGTCTCAGGCCTCACCCCGTCTGTCAACTCTGTCCCTTGTCTAGTGTTCCCCAAACTTCAGCCAGGCTCTGGGCCTCATCACCTGGAAAATGACCTCCTTGGCCATCTTTGTGAGGATGCGGACGATGTCCTCGCACTCTTGGCACAGGTCATCCTGGGGGGGACTCAAGGTGGGGGAGGTAAGTGGGGCTGTGCTCCAGCTCTGGGGGTGGGGCCCTCAGGCACAGGCTGAAGGGACATCCAAGGTCTGCATAGCTGCCCACCACCCCATCCTTCCCGTCCACCCCACACCACCCCACCCTACCCATCCCATCCTGCCCATCCCAGCCATCTTACTCTGACTCACTTGATGCCATCCATTCTGTCCCATCCTTCCTGCTTTATCCCATCCTGAATCATCTTTTGCATCCATCTCCTCCCATCCTCCCATGCTGCTCCTCCTCTAGGGGGCTCCCATCCCCTCAGGCCCCCTCAGAGCCCATCCAGGGCCTTTGGGAGGGACTCACAGCTCCCACGTGTCCCCAGACTTCCTGTAGGCAATGTCCGAGGGCTCTGCACTGCAATGCTTGCTCCAGACTTTGGCACCAGAACTTGGGCCCCTGGGAACAGGCCAAGGATGAGGTGGTCTGGGCAGCTAAAGTTTGGGGCCAGAGAAACCTTGGTCAGGATCCAGATGACATCCATCAGCTTGATTTCACCCAGCTTCAAATTTAGTTTGCTGGGAATGCAAACACATAAGCCAGTGCTGGGTTCCCCTGCCTCAGTTCCTGTCAACTTTGTGTCCTTGGATAAACCCAGGAGCCTCTCGGAGCCTCAGATGACTGGTCTTTGAAATAAGCATCATGGTCAAACCTGGGGTGACTGTGGGCATGGCGCTCAAAGCATGGTGGAGAAGCCTCTGAGAGGGAGGCTGGGGCGACTCACCAGCACCAGGGCCACATAGCATGGGCAGCAGCACCAGGCAGGGCAGCAGGTATGACTTGGCCATGACACCACAGCAGCTGGGTGCCCAGCGTGGGCCAGGGGCTCTTATAGCTGGGGGAGAGGGCCTGGGGCAGTCTCTGGGGAGCCCCTTGACCTCAGTGTTTGCCTTCCTTCTGGAGAGCCCTCCAGGTGCTTTGGTCCTGCCTCTTCCTGAAGGGACACTCCTGTTCCCCTCCCTGCCTGGCTGATGGCCTGTCCAGTTCACTTTGCCCCTGCCCTAACTCCTATGGGCCAGGACTCATGGCTCCCTTCCAACAGGGAGCTTGGTCTCAGCTCTCAGGGCTGTGGAAAGTAAACTGAGGCAGAACAAGGGTTGGGAGCAGCCAGGGTGGTTTCCCTCTAGCTGTACCCAACACCTCCTGGCCTCCTTTGCTCTTGGGCAATGCTCTTAAGAGCTTCCTGCCTGGCTCTTGATCCAGGGTGAGCATCGGAAGGACAAGCCCGGGAACCTCCTGGGGCTCCTACCTTCTCTTCGCCTTAACCTAGAAATGCCTCTGGTTCTCTGGACACATGGTTGACATTAGTCAGAAGAGAAGAAAGACTAAAAAAACAGAGTATCCTGAAAGTCTTAGGCAAGGATGTGAGGGCTGAGGTCGCTGTGGCCCCCAAATGGCTCTCAGCTCTATGTGGGTGCTGGTGCCCACGTCCCCTGGGGACCAGCTGATGGATCAGGAGGATCAGGATGGTTCTGTGCAGAGCTCTCAGCCCTGGTCCCCAGTGGGAAGGGAGCCTGGGAACTTACAGCCTGCACAGGGCAGCGCAGTTGAGGTGGGGGGAGTGTGCCATCGGGCATAGCCACCATCCTGGTGACGGGCACTGGCTCTGTCCCTAGTGGAAGCTTCCAGGCCTCTGTGTGGCAGGAAGCCCAGGGCTCAGGGGGAGGGAGTGAAGGAGAGAGTCCTTTGGGGGGACATCAGTGGTAAAGCGACACACTCACAGCCGCTCAAGGGTTCATATAGTTTCTGTTGACCTCAAGCCCTGGTCACTATGACAGACACAGCTACCATTGTGGGAGTGAACCAAACATGTGTGCAAATATGTGACCAAAGATCAGGAACCCAGTGACTTGCATGAAGGCTAGGGATGGAGGAGCTGGAGCGGGCACGTGATATGATGAATGCAGGAGCCACAGGCTGCGGTATCACTCGGTGCGACAGCTTGTGCTTGGCATGCGGGTGGCTAGGCAAGTTTACCTGCAGTCTGAGCAGGGCTTTACAGATGGCACCGCCAGGGCTGTGGTGGCCAGGGTCATCCAATGAGAGCCCGCCAGGCTTCTGGCTCCACATAGCTTCCTTCTCTTCCCCTCTGGTCGCCGTGCAGAGCAGGTTGGCTTTGGGTCTGGAGGCTGTGAGCCACACAGCCGTGCTGGGGTCTAGGCTCTCCCCTTGGCTTCTCTGAGGGCTGAGGGCCCCCCTGCACCCCTTGCAGCTGGCCAGCTGGGCATGCAGAGCAGGGGCAGAAGATAGGGAGCAGAATTTGGGGGCCAGACTTAGGAGTGGTGTTCATCAGCACTGCCCTCTCACTTTAGTCACAGCGCCCCACAGAAGGGACACCACATTCCTGTGCACCAGCCCAAAGGGCGATGGAGCCCCCTGGGTGGGGGGCGCTGTCTCAGTCCCTCCCTGAACATGCAGGGCCCGGTGCCTGAGAGGAATTTCTAAGTAGTGGGTCTGTGGCTTCCTTCAGATGTCAAAATGGAACCTCCAGGCTGTCAAGAGCGCAAATAAAGGCAACACCTACAGACAGCTGGTGACAGGGCTGTCCTGGCCCTGGCCAAAGGTGAGGGTATTCTGGTGCTTGGGGACAGCCCCCTGCATTTATGCTCTGCTGAATGTGTCCTACAAGGTCTCTGATCAGAACTGGACTCCCATGGTGTGCAAATGCAGGATCGGAGGGCATCACCTGCCACCTTCTCACTGTAAATGAATAAATAAACATTCTGAAAAAAGGAAGGGGCCCGGGCACCCACCAGTAATCCCAGCACTGTGGGAGGCCGAAGCAGGATTGTGCGTTTAAGCCCAACCTGGCCAATTTAGCTAGACCTTGTCTCAGAATAAAATAATTAAAAGTGAGATGGGAGGAGCCTTGGGTTCAATCCCAAGTGCTGATAAAAGAAGAAAAGAAAAGAAAAAAAAAAAAAAACACAAGGAAAAAAAAGAAACAAGGGGGGCGGGGAGAAAAGATAAGAGAGAACTTTCTGACAGCTTCTCCTGGGGCTGCAAGTATAGTTACAGGAGAAGGCTGCCCTCAGTGTGTGGTCATGGGGGAAAATCTCAGTTTTTCTGTTTGATCATAGACTATGCAACTTTCCCAGGTACCAGACTGCAGAGAGCCGAAGCTGACGTGAGAGGATTAGCTGAGGGGTTTATATGAAAAACCTGCTTTCTATCCTTCGTGTTTGCAAAGAGACAGCGAATTCCTTTTTGTTCTTTCTGTGGCGTTTTGGGCCAGCTTTGCCTGGCAGAGCTTGGACCTGGGGCTCACCTCCTCCCCCACACCCACTCTTGAATTTATCTGAGCGTTACTTCTGTTGTGGAGGAAACGTCTGTGGGAAATCCAAGTGAACGCCACCCTGGAAGGTCTCCAGACAGAGTTCCTGTGCCAGGCTCTTTCTCCTGCTTCTCTTTCAGGAAAGGGGGTTTCTCTAGAAACTGAGGAGGGGGTCTTGACCTGAAACTTTGAGTTCACACAGAGCTTTAACTCATTCATCTCACTAAAATGAGCTTAATTGAGCTGGGAATTGGAAGGATAGTGGCCACTGCCCTGGTGGATTTAAATTTATGGGAACACCAGTCAGGCCTGAGCGGGGGGAGACACCAGTGAGGATGGGACAGCTGAGTGAGGACCTGCGGATGCACAGGAGTTGGCCTGGTAACTCAGCCAGTGAGAGAGAAAGTAGTCCAGGCCGAGGGAACCGCTCCAACAAAGAGCCATGAGAGAGAAGGCCGTGGCCTGGTGCGTGCATTCTTTCTCCCTGTTTCATGGAGGAAGCAATGAGCTCCACTTCCTAATTGTGGGTTCAGAGAGGCAGCAGCAAAGGGGGTAACGGCCAGCCCTAAACCTCCAGCTCTCGGTTGCCCTGTCCTGAGCACCACTGCCCCTCTGGGATGAGCAGCGATGGGTGGGAAGCTCAGCACCGGTAAACAATGCATGGTGTGGGCTTCAAGAAAGGAGGACACTGTATTTATAAGGAGGAAAAAGTAGAAGATAGAAAGCTGCCCTGAAGAGGTGGCAGGGGGGTTCCAGAAAGATGGGTTCCCGTGGGCCCTTTGTCTCCTGCTCCTTTAATTAGGTTTCAAGGGCCCTTGCTCTCCAGCTGGGTACCTGGAACTTGTCACAGTCTGATTGGCTCTCTGGGCTGTCCTTTGGGGATCCCAAGCCACAAGACCCTAACCCTAGCATTACTGCCAATGTGCACATCATTTTGGTGGGCTTCGATTTCCTCTTGGCTCTTGGTCCCTTTTCTCAGGCCCATAGCTTGGCTAGGGGCAGCCTGATACACAAGGTGGCTCAGAGCTAGTGATGAAGGAAGGAGATGTGCGATGTGTGTGTCTAATGCAGTTAATACGGCAACCCACGAGTGAGACTATAAGTAAGTGCATCGATATGAGGAAACCTATGAAGCCCTTAGACTACTCTTTCTCTGTCTTTGTAGCCCTCCTTCCCCTACATAACTGGTCGGAGTGCCTGTGGGTAACCAGATCAGCCCCCTTTGCTCCTGGTCTCCCCAAGGTCAGCTGGAGTCTGTCCTAGATATAGACAGGTGTGGGGAAGAGTTGGCCATGTTGATCGGCTTTGATCTTCACATCCTCCTCCCCTCTGTAGGTGGGATTATGTCTTCCTGGAAGACGTGCTGAGGTCCTAACCCCTGTGGCCTTTTTTGAGAAGAGTCTTTGCAGGTGAAATTAAGTTGGGATGTGGTCACAGGGTGGCCCCTCAGCTGACGACTGGTGCCCCTGTGAGAAGGACCTTTGAATGCAGAGACGGTGCCATGTGACCATGGGGGCAGAAATGAATGAGGCAGCTGCAAGCCAGGGAGCACAGAGGTCCCAGCTCCTGCTGGACGCTGGGAAGAGGCAGGGATGATTCCTCCCTGCAGTCCACAGAGGGAGCGTGGGCCTGGGACAGTGACTGCAGACCTCGGCCTCCTGCACCGTTAGAGAGGACATTCCTGTCGTTTTCAGCTACCCTCTTTGACCCAGCTGCTGCTGTGGGTTCAGTCCCTTCCCTCCCTCCTTGTCTGCACCAGCATGTGAGCCCATACTTTCCTGACCCAAAGTGAGCCCCAAATGCAGCTGGCTCAGCTCCCGGCATTGCCGCTGGGCCTGATTCCCACGGGGGAAGAGCCTGACCACAGCAGGAGGCCCAGGACTTTGCATCTCAACGCAGAACAAGCTTTGCAAAGGGATGCCAAGTGGGGGATGTCATCAGTGGCATCTCTCCCAACATCTGTCAGAGGTCCCTGTCCTCTGGGGCCCGGCTAAAGCTCTTCTGCCTGTGCTCCCTGGAGAGAGTGTCCTTTCCTTCTGTTTCTATCTGCAGGGAAGAAATGTGTCAGTTACTGCCGATCCTCAGAACCCAGCACAATCCTGGAGACATCGAGGCCACTCACCATGTGACTTTTTGTTTTCCTTTTCTTGCTAATGGAACCTATTTTGTTTTGCCCAGGTTCTGAGGGTGCAGAGAGCTGATTTCTGTGCCCTAGCTTGGGATGCACCAAAGTTAGGCTAAGTCATCTCTTCTTGCTGGGAATTGCTTTGGGTAGACGTGTTCTGCCGGGTTCAGCATGTGGAGGAAGCTTCTGGGAAATGTTTCCATTCTGGTTAAAAGAGACAGGTGGAAAGAAAAGCCTTTTCTTCTTTTATGGTATCCTGTGCAAAGATGCATTGTTGGAGCCATGGCAGCTATTCTGCTCCAAGAAGGAGGAGATTAGAGAAGCACAGAGAAGCAGCCCAGAGCCCTCACATGGCCAAGATGCTGATTTAACTAACTTTGCACCATGCCTGTC